GAGAAGGCATGGTCGGGGGAGAAGGCATAGCCGGGAGTAAAGTCATGTCAAGACTGAGAGAAATTGCGGATGTGGAGAACAGCAGCCGTACAGCGTTCACAGCGCGAGAGTGGGGCGTGGTGGAGGGAAGCGAAGAAATCCAATTTTCGACAAAGGAAGATGCTTCCTCTCTGGAAATCTTGCTAAAGTCTGCTGACATACAACGTGAAGAGGTTGAGGGCCTGGGGGATCAAACGGATAGGATACTGAGGTTTTGCGGTGGGCTTCCGCTTGCGCTGTCCGTGGTTGGCAGAGCGATTGCGAGACATCGTGAGATTGCGAAAGAACTTTGTCTGAAAAATGTGCTTGATGAGTACTTGGAGTGTCTGGAAGATACATCGTCAATACTATTGGACGAAAGAGCGGATGGGACGTACCTATACGAGAACCTGTCAATGGCGTTTGAAGTTTCGCTGTGCATGATGGATCGAAAGAAGACCAGAGGAGATGGGCAGTTGATGTCCTACGCCGAGATGTACGAGTCGCTGGTGGTCATTCGGCGCCAAGGATGGTTGCCGTTGAGTGTGCTCTGTTTGTTATGGAGACGGAAAGGAAAAGCTCAGGCATTGAAAGTGCTGCACGAATTCGTGGAGGCCAGTCTAGTTGAACGAAAGGATGGAGTGTCAAGTGGTCGCAAGATCGCCGGAGTCAGGTTGCACGATTTGCAGCTCGATTACGTGCAACAGAGATGTGGGAATGGGGGAGAGAAGAGGTGGCATGAAAAGCTTGTGCAAGAATGGCAATGGAACGAGAGTGAGAACAGGCAAGAAGCGCCGCCGTGGGTTTGCGGGAGAGGGTGGAAGAAGGATATGGTGGAGGACGAGTATTTCCGACACAACTTGTGCCGCCATCTCAAGGGGGCGCAGCTGGGCGAGGATTTGTGGGATGTTTTGAGTGATGCCAGGTGGGTGGCAGAGAAGTTAACTCGGGCAGAGGGGCTAAATCTTCAAGAGGATTTCAAGATTTTGACGGACGTAGCCGGGGAAGACGGAGAACGGTGCGAAGCGGGAGGCAGGCTGTGGTCGTTGCAGAAGATTGCTAGACAGGCGAGGCTGAGTGCGTCCTTTGTTCGTCGAAGTTCGAGAGAGGTATGGTTTCAGCTGTACGATGGTCTGTTGAGATTCAGGAACGAGTCGGAAGTAATTGGAGAGTTCTTACGCAGGATAGAGGAAGTTGCGGAGAAGCCGTGGTTGAAGTCGCTTACACCTGGCTTGAACGTATCAGGCGCGGTGCAACACATATTTCCGGACCAGGGGAGGGTGGTGGGAATGTCGGGATGCGCAGCTAAGAACGAAGTGATCGCTTGGGGGGATGATGAGAAGCATCTGTTTCGTCGGACATTCCGGGACGGGGAAATGAAAGAAAACGAGTTGTTTGAAGTGGCATGGGGTGTGAGCAGGTTTTGGTCGGAGAACGGAAAGTATGTAGCGGTAGTACAGGCAGATAGAACAAGCGTGCAGGTGTGGGATATGCATACAGGAGCTACAGCAAAGCGAGTCGGACAGGAAGTGGATGTAGGGCACCTGGGCCGTTGCACTTTTGACTTGACGGGGGATGGAAAGCGAGTAGCGTTTGGGAGAGAAGATGGTGTGGTTGTGTTGTGGGATGTTGAGAGAGGTGTGAAGATCAAGGAGGCAGCGAATATGCGGGGTCATGTTGTCAAGAAAGTATCGCTTTCACCGGGCGGGAAACGGTTGGCGTGCACAGGAGAATGCGGCTTAAACGCGTCACGGTTGGCGTGCACAGGAGAATGCGGCTCAAACGGGTCAATTTTGATACTGTGTGCAGAGACAGGGGAGATGGTTCGGGTGATCCGGGTGATTGGCGTGCCGAGTATTCGACTAGTCGATTGGACGGTTGATTGGACCAAGTGGTTGATTTCGTGGTCGAACAATGGAAAGCGGGTCGCGTGCGTGTTCCAGAACTCACTATCTGAAGCAAGATTGTGGATCTTTGACGGGGAGACTGGTAGGAGTATCGCGGAAAGCGCGCCTTTGGAAGAAGACGTTTGCTGTCTTTCATGGTCGGAGGACGGGACGCGGTTGTGCTGTGGCGAGGTATGTCGTTGCGAGTCCGGTAGCGGGCAGGGTGTGGTGTCGGTATGGGACGGACGCTCGGGGAAGAGAATATCGAAATTTGATGATTTTTGGGCAAGGGCAATATCTCTGTCCGGGGATGGGAGATGGTTGGCTGCTTCCATTGGCGGCGGGAAGGTTTCTGTGAGGGACACAGAGACCGGGGCAGAAGTACGGCGGCACATGGCGCCACACGGGCCGAACGTCTTGGGCTGGCTAGAAGATGGAAAGCGGATGTTTTCTGCGGATGGGATTTTCAATATTGTCATTTGGAGGTGGGATAATCTGGAGAGGTTGCAGGAGGAAGAGGAAGTCGACAAGGTCAACGAGAATTGTCGAGGATCCACGGCTGTTGCGTGGTCAAGCGATGACATATGTGCTACTGTGGTTGGAGACGGAGACGTAGTGATGTACGATGTGAAGACGGGGAAGAAGATGTGGGGGGATGCTGAGACACACGTAAGCCGTGTGCATTGTCTGGAGATGTCTAGAGATAGCAAGCGGGTGTTTACGGCAGCAAGAGATGGAACGTTTGCGATGTGGGACAGCAAGACGGGCGACAAGTTGTGGGAAGGCGGGGAGGCCTGGGCCAAGGATGGTTACCCAAAAGCAGAAGCATGTTGGTCCAATGATGGGACGAGGGTGTTCGTGTCGTTTAGAAGGGGGATGGGGTTGTGGGACGGGAAGACTGGGAACAAGTTATGGGAGAGAATCGGCTACATGCACATCGGGTGCATGGCGTGGGCTGGAAACGACACGAAGATCGCGCTTGGCGGTAGCAATAACGACGGCAGGGTCGTGCTGTTAAGCGCCAGAACGGGAGAGGCGATCAGGGTGGCATGTGGACATACAGATGGCAGGGTCGTGCTGCGGGGCGCCAAGACAGGAGAGACGATGGGCGATGCCCCCGAACGTGTCCCAGATTCGGTCGGCCTGAAATGGGCTGCGGACCAAGGTCTGCTTGAGTTGTATTCAGACGAATTTGCAGACGAAGTTCACATAGATTGGTTCAACTTTGTGAAGCGGCCCGGGAGAGAAGGTGAAGAAGGTGTGCGGGCTTCGTTCTCTGTTGAGCGGGCTCCGTTCTCTGTTCGGCGGGCTCCGTTCTCTGTTGGGGCTCTGTTCTCCCCTTATGATACTCTTTCTCGCTCTTTTGCTTCGGTGAAGTGGTCTCCAGATGACAAGTGGATCGCGTCAACTGGATATGTTGAAATTGATGAAAATGGGAAACCAAGCAGAGTCGGAGTTATGATCTGGAATTGGGAGACAGGTGTAACATATCGGTACCAGCTCTATGAGTATGGTTTACCACGCTATCCGCTGGAATGGTCTGACGACGGACGACGCGTAGCCCTTGGAATTGGAAAAGGGCTTGCGATATGGGATATTGAGACAGGGGTGATGTTAAGGTATAGCACAAACAGTGAACATCTAAGGCAGATTGCTTGGTTCCGGGACGGGTCGCGAATGGCGACGGTGGGTGGAGGAACGTTACGAATCCTGTCCGTGACGAGTCAAAGCGCTGTCTGCGAAAAGCAATATGATGATGTTGGGTATCTCAAAGAGAGCGATCTGCGCCAGTTCATCGATACGAATGAGGGCAAACTCACGGCGGCGGATCTAGAGAGGAAACTGGAGAGGAAACTGAGGATTCGGCAAAAGCATGGTGAAGATGGAGTGCTCTACAAGACAGGAGATGACGAAATCCGCCTAGCAACCGTTGCGGGATATCGTTGGTACTGTTCTACTTCAGGTCGGCACATTGCGATCCAGGTAGAAGCAAAACTGTACTTTTACGAGCTCGTGCAGTAGTGTGATTGTGAGTGTGTGAATAACCACTGGGCAAAAGGGGATGTCCCGGCCAGGACAGGACAGGAGGGGTTGTACCCATGGTATATGTAGTAAGGGATGATGTGCCAGGAGAAATTTGTATGTATTCGATGTTGTTTCTAATTACCCGACGCCTCGATGCCCTCTCCGCAAAAAAAGTAGCCGGTACATCTTTTCTATGTGTCGCGCGCAGTTGCGTCAGTGTGCGGGGAATAGTGTCGTCCAACGTAGAGACTGCGCGTAGCGAGACCAGCAAACAAAACTGGAGGCGGAACAGGCACATACGATATCAGTCGTTGTAGTATGAAGTTCAAGATATGCACGGCGGATTTGCGGTGGTTTTCGCTTTGTCAGGTATTAGAAACTTCGTTTCCGCCAGGAAACGAAACCTTGACGACGGTCGAAACCTTGACGACGGTGTTGACGGCGGTGTTAGCGTTGAGGTTGACGGCACGTGTAGCGTCGAAGACGGGCGGTCGTCGGGAGGCTGTGGCTTGTTGGTAGTGGTGGGGGGAGCATGATAGAGTATGAAGAGGTTGTGTGTTGTGTGAAATGGAGGTTTTGCCTTGTTTGGACACGGGCAACTGCTCGTGCACGGACACTCACACATGTAAGTGTGTTGAGTGTCCCTGTTCCAACCATCTCTTAAGAGATGGTTGGAAACAGGGAGGAAGAAGACAGGGGTACGGGATACCGCCGTGGCTATCCGATCAGCACTTGTTTGTGGTTACACCGTCAAGTAGACCGAGGCCAGGCACTCTTCCTTGTGCTCGGTGGGATGGCTAGAGACGACATTGTTTCCTGCCGCGGCCATTCTTGCTCGCCGGACATTCTCACTCACCGGAG